TCTCCTTAATCCAGCTCACAAACTCCATCCCAGCCCAGCGGCAGCAGAACAACACGACTACTGTGTCTCAGCAGAACAATCTAAATGCCAACAGAGGGCCTCGTCCGCTGGACCAAGTCACCTGCTACAAGGTGAGTCGGCTGTACATCTGTGATTAAAGCTATGCCAGTCTCTCGCTTTGGTCGTAATTGCAATCATTAATCAAACTGTGGTTGGTTATATTGCCAAAGCATGCACCGGCCATACATTTAGATCATTAAAACCAGACTTTTCTCAAGTTTAGATGCACTTGTAAGGTTTTACCTATAATACTGGTTTTCTCTGCGTGGTTGCAGTGAGCCTTGAATAAGATGGATCACTGGTGCTCTTGTGAATTTATCCAGCTTCTTAAAGGGGAACAATTTTCTGAATTTCTTGGCTCTCCACAGTGTAGTACTTTACACATTTGCCTAAAAGCAAAAGGTGGTGACACAAATCTCTTTGGGATGAAAAATGTGCACAAGAGTCTGGCTCCTCAGTTCAAACACAATCTGGAATCATCAGTTTTAAGTTTGCTTCCCACTTTTTTCTGATTGGCTGTCTCTTGCAAATTGTATGCTGAACATGTATGAATGTGGGTGGAGCAGCTGTTCCAACAGCCTGGGGTTTTGGGTTATAGGGTTTACTTGGACATTCACTGATATCATTATTTAAACCTTGTACACTTTTAACAGAGCCACCAATCTCACAGCACATATGACTGTAAATAAAGAAGGGAAAACACCCCTAAAACAATCTCCTTTAAAATTAGAGGATTTGTTTGTTTTGTTCTTGCTACTGGGAACAACTGGAACATGCAGTAAATGTCGTTAATTGCTTCATTTCCGTCTTCCTCTTGTCTGCAGTGTGGCGAGAAGGGCCACTATGCCAACAAATGTACTAAAGGCCATCTCGCCTTCCTGAGTGGTCAGTAACCTTCAGCCGAACACCTCAGTGCTGTAGCGCACCACCCCTGATGTGAGCAGAAGAGAGAATGGGGAAGACTGCTCTACATGCTGGTGTTTCTTAAAGACTAATTGCTGCCCGACAGACACGGACAGTGGGAGGGGGGCCTGTGGACACATGAAAGTGACAAGAAAAAAGGTCATCCGGCCTGATTTGCTGGGTTTGTACAGTACAGGTGACTTTGAAGAGTCACTCCCAGGGTCCAGACTGCTGCAAACACCAATACAGGTGCTGTTGTTCCTCAGGTCATGTGACTGCAACTGCCACTGCTATGTTCCAAGTCTGACCATGAAAAAAAAAAAATTGAACAAATGTGATAAACATCTTAGGAATGTAATTTAGCTTGTACTCCGTGCCCAAATCCACACTAGCTACAAAGGTCTCATTCTGGACATTTCAGCCTCGGTTTAGCAGCTGTGTGTGGCAGGTACGGTAGTGCAGAGCAGCTGGAAGAGACGCTTTGTTGACAGTCTGAACATATTCTGTCTGTACAAATAAATGTTCTTGTTTCAGATTTTATTAATTTTTTTTACCCCTCACTTCTGATCTTCTCATAGCCACTTCTGAGATTTACACAGTACACTCACAACAGTAAATCCTTATCCTTATTTTTTTATTGGTCACAACAATCACATATGAACAGAGCCGAGGATAGAAAGAGCTGACGCGTTCCTGAAGGGGCTCAGTGGTACTTCCTCCAGCGATCGTGTTCTACAAGAAAAGAAGCACAAGTCGTTTAAAATATTAGCTTTTTTTTTTAACCAGTGAGGTTGACTGTGACACGAGTGCAAAGAAAGAAAAGAGGCTCTGTAAGCGAGTGTGTTTCTTACTGATGTGGTCGTATTCCCATAAGTAGCTGATGGCCACGTAGCCCACAAGCAGCATAGCTACACCACCGATGCCCCCCTTCTTCACATTGATGTACTTGTTGTAGTATCTGTCATGGCCTAGAAGAGAAAACAGCATGGTCAAGTGTCCTGTTTAGTATTCAATACATGCAAGAGGCGCACTCATTCTGTGACCTTAATTACTACTGAGGCCAGATTCTCAAATTAGTGTCCCAAGTATAAGTAAAGCTACTAGCACAGGGGTCAGCAACCTTTACTGTCAAGAGACATTTTTCAGCAATTTGTGATTCAAAAAAATAAAAGACCACAAAGCACGAGCCTCATGTAAAGAAGGATACTAAGATTAAGTGTAAAGTAGCCTAAATGAGTAGATTCTTACTCTCCAGTGGGCCATTTCTGATTTTGTACTTCAATTCTGGATTTTCACTTTATTTTATACTTATTACTAACAAAACAGAAGAAAAGTAGAGTTAAAATTAGCATTTTTAAATCCACTTTGAGACAGAGCAGGTATAATTTTCAACCCAGGTTTCTGTGCAAATCAATCTTAAGGGGCCCCAATCAGACAATATATCAAACAAAGTGAAATCGAAAAACTTTAAAACAGTCAATTTTCAACATAATTTTAACTAAAGTCCAGCTTTAGATTAAAAATACTTGGTGGTGAAAGTGACGAAATCATTCCATTTTCCCCTCACTTTTGTTTTTAGATCTGGAATCCATACCAACTGGGAGTTAAAACTACGCAGCCATGCTGACCATTTTTACTGAGGTTCAGCAAAAATCAAGGCGATAAACATGAGCTATGATGCACATCGTAAAATATTTTTTTAAGAATCTGTGTTTAAGGACAATTGTACTGCTGGTAAATGTAAAGAGTGTTTTAGATCAGGGGTGTTGAACTCCATGCCGGTGTCCTGCTGAGTTTAGATAACACCCTGGGTCAACACCACTGAATGAAATGATTAGTTCATTGGCAGGCCTCTTGAGAACTTCAAGACATGTTGAGGAGGTAATTTAGCCTCACTGGCCCCCCGAGGCCTGGAGTTGGACATCTGATCAATGCCAAAAACTGAAATATTCACACACAAAGCCATTGTTTATTTTTATATACATATCCATTTTCTGATAAAGTCACTGGAGAGGTTCAGGACCCCTGTACTAAGGAAGCGCCTAGCCAAAGGCAGAGCTGAGCCCTCATAAATAACATATTCCTTACATAACAGATGCGTTACAGGTGAAACCGTAAAGATGCAATAAGCTGAAGTAGTTAATGTGGATGGGTTTAAATATGTGGGGGTCAAAGATCCAAGGCAACCGACAGTGCACAAGAGAGGTGAGGAAGAGAGTGCAAGCTGAAAAAAATGTATATAAATAATCAGTCAGTGTTTAAAAACCAAGTTCCAGTAGGTAAAAAAAGAAAAAAAGTTTTTCCTGCCCACCAGAAGTAGTCGGAGCAAGATGTACTCACCCCTGCGAATGGCTGAGAGGATGCCATTGGGAGTAAAGTCTCGACCTCCAAGCCAGGCTCCCAGCTCGTTGAGTTTCACGTCCATCAGCCGCTTCTCAGCTAAGGAAACTAAAAACACGTAAAAAGAGCGTCATCACTGAAAATGCACACTGTCAACAAAGAATAAAAACATGCCACTGAATTACAAACATTAGCAATCTAAAGACACGTTTAAACCGCTTGTCTAAAGACAAAAAGTGGCAACATCGTGTACCGAGGACACAAAATTGTAATTTCCCTACATATTTTCTGACTTTTTTAAAATATCCAATAAACTATTAACCTTTCAAATAATTATCAGGCTAAGAGTTACGGAGACTAATTAAAAACCGAAGCTCTTAATTCTGCAAAATAATTAACAACTTGTTAACATGTTTTCAGTCGTCGCAGTAATTCAATTACACTCAAAACACAGCAGCCGACTCGCTAGGAGCTAGTTTGACATTTACCAGGTGTGTGTAGCCGATTGTGATGACATAATGAATGAAAGTTTGCTGGACCGCTTTTCAAAAACACCATAAAGCACACAACAAGACACCCAAGCACCCAAGTTCTTCTTTATGTTTTTTTACAATTAAAGTTGGTCAAAGAGACCATCCTAGTTTGTGCTAATCGCGCCGTGTTTGCGTGCTACCGAGCAAGCTAGCTAAAGAAACCGTTATATAATCGACACGTTTATCAACAGCACGATTATTAGAGCTTCATCCAAGCTGTAGGTCACTCTGAAAGGTGCAGTTAAATCTAAAAAAGCGGCCTGCAGATTTATTTTCACAGTAAATTCGCCAATGACACGCAAAGTCCTTGACGTGACTCAAAGGGTTTAGCGAGGCCTTCAGTCCGAAAAAGACCTTCAAGTGACGAATTCACGGCTTGTCTGATAGAAAACACCCCTCAGTCCCCAAAAGCCTCATTATATGCCAAGATGATGACATATAAAACAAAAACAGGACAATATTTTTTTGGGAGAAGGCACATTACGGTACCTGCTCTGTCCGCCATCTTGACCGGTGCAGAAGGTTTGCTGCAAGGAATGATGGGAATAAAAGGAGAAAGTGCATTATGGGAGGTCATGTAGTTTTAAAGTGAATCCACTAGAGAGCGGCAAAAGCAATAAAACCAAACAACAAACATTATTATTATTATTATTATTATTATTATTATTATTATTATTATTATATTATTCCTAAATAAATAAATTTATTTTATTTTATCGTAATCTGCTCTGAATAATAGGTTCATGTTTATTAACATCTTAATTTTTTATTTATTTTGGTGTAAATTTGTATCTGTTCACCCTCCCTCACTTTTAAAAATCTAGAATGAATCATTATTCAGATATTTTTAATGTTACTCCCGGTTGTCTGTGTACGTCTCTACATGTGTTAAAAAATAGGAACAAACTTGTCAGGCACACCATAATTGAATCAACACTTTTGTTAAATGGTGTGCACAAATTTAATTAGAGTGAGATCTGCCCTTTATAACTTATTGATTGAGTAAAGACTTAAAAGATTAACTTGCACACTTGCAGAAGCCTGCTTTTGTTGCCAGCTTTCCTTCCTGACTTTGGCTACAGCACCTGTGCTGCTAGTACCTTGTTAGGATTACAGTTTTGCCCCACATGTGTGAAATTGGCACTCGTGTCTCTGCAAAGTCCCATTCTTAGTTTTTCTCGTACATCTTTGTAGGAGATAAAAGTGCTTTGCGACCTAGCGGCCTGAGGTTCGGCTCGCCGGCTCTTACCTCCAGAGGCTTGGTGGAGAATGACTTCAGGAAAGTGGCTGAGTTCATTCACAGAGGTAATTTATTTCTTTAAAGGAGGAATTGGTGTAAAAAGATTTCTCACAAACAAAATGTAAATAACCCATGCTTTCCATTCTTCCGCAGGCATTGAACTGACTGTGGAGGTGCAGAAAAGTCTGGATCCCAAAGCCACTCTGAAGGAGTTTGTTCAGGCATTATCCCAGGGAGAGAAGTTCCAGCAGCGGGTAGCGGAGATCAGGGCTGAGGTGGAGGCTTTCGCCGGACAATTCCCAATGCCAGGTCTACCCGAGCTGTAGAGCGCAGTTCAGACTCTAAATGCAGCTGAACGGATGATTCAAGAAGATTAGTACGAAGGCATATGATGCTGGGTTTTTGTTTTTCCTTTATTTTGACTGTCGACTCACAGTTCGCATGGATAGACACGATTTCTGTTCAAACAGATTTAATAACCATCGAATTATTCTGTGTTGTTACTGAGCCTTTCCCATTTTTACGTGTTTTCCATTTAGCTTCATGGTCGGGTGTTACAATCATATTTAAGCTTTGAGCTCATCAGAAATCTCACTTTCATCTTTATTAAGGTTACACTTCAGAGGTTTTGTAGCAAACTACCACATTTTCAGTATATAGTATCGTAAGTACAACTTTGAAAATAAAATAATTACATTCTGAATAAACTAAGAATGAACGAAACCTCAGCTGTTATGTTTTGTTTTGCTTTATTTTTTTCCCCAGTCTAAGTACATCAGTGCTCTGGACTCTGATTAAGTTAAGTAGATATTAGAAGCTTACAGTGGTTTAATAATCTTGATTTAGCAGCAATAGAAAAACAGCTGATGCTGGCTGGAATGCCATTACAAGAGCACTGGACAAATGAAAATTCTGGTAGAATAAAAGTTAAGGGGTCATTAAAATTCAAATCACCTTGATGAGAACGAGTCCACAGAGAGTCGAATATCCAGACCCTGTGTTCCTGTGAAACCTGGACGTTGGTTTCAAAGGGTGAAAATAAGTTTTCTCCAGTAGACATTTTTTCTTCCTAGTACAATTCTCAGTGAAGAGATATCCTGGACTTGGATTTTCACTCAAACTGGATACTGCTGTATGAATCTGTATATGCTATAACATAGTCTCTTTCAGGAAAAACGGTCAGTAATCCTGAAAGATCAGGTGATACAGGACATTAGAAAACACTGAAACAGCATAGCATGCTGCTGGCATCCAATTAAAAAAAGATAAATCTAATTTTCTACCTTTCATGTGTTGCTTTTGTACCAATTTTAAATTAAACAAACAACCTTAATTACATTTTACGTGGTGTCCCAATTTTATTGGAAACAAGGATCTGATATGTTTCTACTGAAAACTACGAATGTTGGTACAATCACTGGTTTGGGGGTTTTAAATTTTTCTTAATCTATACATTTGATTATTTTAGATTAGAATCTTGTTTGCAGTCGCACTTTTCTCCTCTCCTCCTTCCCTTATCTTCCCTGCTTAGCCTCTTGTGTCCTTGTCTTGTCTCGTGTGTATTACTTTCCCTGGAACACTCTCTCACAGTCTGTTCTCTAAAACCTAAAAGAGAATTATGGATTTGATCAACTGGTCTCTGAATGCTATTGACACCCTTTTCTCAACGAGAAGTCTGGGCTCGGGAGAGCCCGAGTGCCCTGGAGGGACTTTCCCTGCCGGATACATGATGGACGGGTGGCAGACATGGAGGATCGTGTGCCTGGCGGGACTGTCGATCGAGGACGCTGAAGATATCTACCTATTTGGAACCATGATAACAGGGTTCTTGCTGATCGGAGCTGGCTTGGCCCTGGCTTATCGGAGAATTAAGAAAGCGGAACCGGCTGTTCAAACCCCCCCAAGGCTGCCCGCTGGGATTGAAACGATGGGACGAGGCGCGACTTCTCAGAATGGGCTCACTGAGTGCAGCATGGTTAAGACCTTGGAGAAGCTTACGGCTGCCGTGAATACTCAGAATAACACCTCTGAGCGTATATTGGGTTAGATCAAGGAGAAGTCCGCTCAGAAAGTTGGATTACATCGTGGGACAGCTCACTGCAGTCGTGAGGTCTCAGAATCGGCTCTCTGAGCACAAGAATGACAACACCACGGAGCGCAAGTTTGATAACATCATGGAGAAGCTCGCGGCTCTCCAACGGGAGATTGAGAGACCAGTGTCGGAGTGTTAAAGAACAGCTTTGAAATTCTCATGAGCTGCTCGCATAAAAGAAAAATCAACAACATCAACATCATAATGCGGATATCCCCTCGGCGCCAGCTGTGGGCTCAAGGCTGGAGCCGAACAAAAACTCCCTGATAACGACTCTATGCAAGGCCACCTGGGTTGGCTGATAGACTGTTTACTTAGCCTGGTAGGGCGAAGGAAACTGTCTCAGCTGAACTATGGACACGGACACACATACACTTACATTGATAAGCACTCACACATCCCCCCCTCCCCTTCCAATGCCTTCGATGCTTGTTGCCTCCTGGGAACATGAGGCGGGTCTGGACCCGCACTGGAGAGACGGCGAGGGGCAGGATGGCTGCTGTGTTGCCTGGGATTACTCCTTTCCCCTACCCAACCCTGTTGCTCGTCACGTGCTCTATAATGTTGTACTGTATTTCTGTAGTCTATTGATACTAGATAGTGGAAAAGGGGTGGGATTAAATAAGCTTATGCTTCTTCCTGCTCCTTTTTGAACATGAATGTTATTTGGAGTTGTGGTTGCTCGTTTTCCTTTTGTTTTGCTTTGTTCATTTGTCTCTTTTAATTCTATTTTGTTGTACTTTTTCAACATGTTCAAAATAAAGATTCAATCAATCAATCATTGAAGATCAAAATAACACATCCCAGTACCCTCAGCTTTCCCACTGAGAAGCTCTATAATAATCATAATAAATGCACGAAAGCAACAGTGATGGATTTTATAAAGAAAAAAAAAACACTTCAGTGAAGCTGAATAAAACCTTGTCGGGCCTCTGAACCACACAGACTGATATAAAATATGTTTTGTACCAATGGTGTCAGACATAAAGGGGCACCAGAATCCAAATGTAGTCAGTTTTACATCTTTTCCTTCCAGCTCCCCCCTGGCTATTCATGCTACACTACAGTAATTTCTGATTTTAATGCTCCTACATTCAGATTACAAATGATCTACTATAGAAATTTCTGTTTTGGCTCCACGGTTTTTTCCTGTAATTTTTCTCATTTCTTACAGTTTAAGCCCAAAGAGAAATGCTGACAGATTTTACTAAAGCAGCATTTCTTCATCATGTGGAAAAACTGAAACTTACTGTTGAGTTGTGGATTTAACGAAGCGCTCTGCGATCGTTTAGTCTTGTCTGATTTTGTCAGGTCGGAGGTCAGCCTGCGCGCCTCCCATCATCCACACAGAACAAGGAGTAGTTCGGGGACATACAAACATTTACGGGCCGGTCGTGTCCATGGTTTGTCTTTAAAACCGACATTAGACCTATAAACTACGGCATCTGTTGTATTCTCGGTATCGGAGTTTGGAGTTTGGTGCTAACTTATCAGTTAGCTTGGCTAGCCGCCTTAGCAGGCTGAGAGGGAACTTGGTAGCTAGTAGCTAGACTTCGAGCTAGCTTAACCGAAACGGACATTTATCTGATCGGAGGAGTGAATAGACTGCAGCGGACATGCAGGATTTACTGGCCAACGTGGACCACATCAAGTTTGACCTGGAGATTGCCGTGGAGCAGCAGCTGGGAGCCCAGCCGCTGCCTTTCCCCGGCATGGATAGTAAGTGCTGGGATGCTAGCTGGTACTAAGCCCGCTGCGGGTTAACCTTAAGCGGAATTAACGGTAAAAGTGACGAGGGGAGAGTTGACCGCCACTGACTACTTATGTTCATTGACCCTGTGATCGTGTGTGTCTCTGCAGAGTCCGGGTCTGCTGTGTGCGAGTTCTTCATGAGAGCTGCGTGTCAGAAAGGTAAAATCACAACATGGTCTCAACTCTGTGGTGATGTCACTGCAGCGTGAACGGCCCCAACAATGAACTCTTTAACTTCCGTAAAGTTAAAGTTTAGACACTTCACGCCACTCAAACGCACAGATCGGTGCTGGTTGACCTTTTTTTTTTAAGCAAGCTCTACCTCTCATGTCTAAATACAGCCTTAGATATACTGTTTACGCACTGCTACAGTAGCCTGCACCTCACTGATTTCCAAGAATAGCCCATTTTCATAATGTTGTGAATTATATTACTCCTCTTAATAGCTTCAAGGGAAATGACCTTTCCCCCCTTCTTTATTAAGCACTTTTGTAACCATTTCAATCCCTGCCATTAGGCCAGTCTCTGCTGATCTCAAAAATGTCCAAATTTAAAGTACTAAATTGTGTTTTAAGTGATCAGCATGACACTGAGAGCCATGTGTGTCTTAATGAGGAGAAGGTCACAGAGCGCACTGTGTCTCACAGGTGGGATGTGTCCGTTCCGTCACATCAGTGGAGAGAAGACAGTGGTGTGTAAGCACTGGCTCAGAGGTCTGTGTAAGAAGGGAGACCAGTGCGAGTTTCTCCACGAATACGACATGACCAAGATGCCTGAATGCTACTTCTACTCAAAGTTCGGTGAGTTGACATCATAAGTGCATTTATTTGGTTAAACTTTGCACAGATCTTGTCAGATGAATGCCGTACTGATTAATGTTTTGTTCTGCGACCCTCACAGGTGAATGCAGCAACAAGGAGTGTCCTTTCCTACACATAGATCCAGAGTCCAAGATCAAAGACTGTCCCTGGTATGACCGAGGCTTCTGCAAACACGGTAAGGTCAAATTCTGGTACTAATACCACAAACCCACTGCTTATAGACGTAGCCTGTCTGTTCTGTGGTTTAAATGGAGAAAAACATAATACGTCTTATTATTTGTCCTCATCTGTGTCTCCGTCTTCTTACCTCAGGTCCTGACTGCCGACACCGACATACCAGAAGGGTGATCTGTGTGAACTACTTGGTGGGCTTCTGTCCAGAAGGAAAGTCCTGTAAATTTATGCAGTAAGTAGTCCTGTTACATTTACTTCCTACACAACAGGTATGATTCCTGATAGGACCGCTGCTCCACATTAAGTTGGTTAAATCTGCCAAGCAATTGTGCAGGAATTTCATTACATTACACTCCAGTATAAATGGTCTTTGTTTGATTTTATAATGATGGATAGCTGGATTAAAAGTTTTTTGAGACTTCACCCTGCAGTAACGTAGATTATACGTTGATGTTCCTCCACAGCCCCCGATTTGAGCTGCCTATGGGCGCTTCTGAACAGCCTCCTCTCCCACAGCAAAACCAGAACCAGGCAAAGGTAAGAATGCACACAAACACTCGAATGATGCATCCCGATGCCGGCGTGGATCCATCTGACAGGATGAATCAGCATGACTCTCGGTGCTTCTGTTTAACTGTTCGTTCCTGTTGCTGAGGTGCACAGTGAAAACGGTCTCTCTGCTTGCCTCCTGCCGCAGCCCGTGCCTACCATTGGTCGCTCGTCGCTCTCCTTAATCCAGCTCACAAACTCCATCCCAGCCCAGCGGCAGCAGAACAACACGACTACTGTGTCTCAGCAGAACAATCTAAATGCCAACAGAGGGCCTCGTCCGCTGGACCAAGTCACCTGCTACAAGGTGAGTCGGCTGTACATCTGTGTGATTA